ACAGGTTGAAAGATGCTCTTCTCCCTCTTAGTACCAAGATAATCCTCATTCAATCTTGTTTGTACAGGATTCCATTTTATCGCTTCTCCTTGTTTAAAGTTTCTAGAGGTATTGCTAAGAAGAATGAAAGAATGATGAGATCTTTCTTTGGTCAGACTTGAGTGAGTCCAAGAGACCCCATTTAGTTGGGAGAGATGCTACTTGCCGAAAGTAGATGGGGCTACTGGCATGTAAATATTTGTCTCTCTTGGCTGAATGGTTATGGTCCATTGGTGCTTTCATTTGAAATCTGACTCATTATGCAAAGAGTTATTAAGAGTAAGTTTGGTTTACATCAATGTGGAGAGCATTCTAAGATCAGTATTTCGAGCAAATATAAGATTCCTAAAGGCTATATCCAGTCTCTGTGTTTCTTTTTTCCCCTTAATCACATTAAACGTGGGTGATGGCTCTTGTTTTCTTTTCTCGGAGGACATTTGAATTGACAATATTCCTCTAGCTTCTCGTTTTCCTCAACTATAAAACTTGTCCCAAATTCATCATTCTCCCATTTATGCTTTTTCTGGATTGATAGATGACTCTTATTCTTGGAATGTCTTTTTTCAGAAATCTTAATGGCCGGGAAGCTATTGACATGATTACTTTGCTTAAGCTTCTCAAGTTTGCTGCTTTCTCAAATTTGGCCTTTGGCATCCTTAGGTATCTTTTCTTGTAAATTTTACCTTCGATTTCTTATTCATAATCTTGCATCTCATAATCATGTCCTTATAAGTATTTGTCGAAGGTTCCTGCTCCTTCTAAGGTAAAGATTTTTTTTCGGATGGCGATTTGTTGTTAAGCTTAATACAAACAATGTGCTTCAAGCTCATAGACCGAATCACATCTTGTCCCCAGGGATTTCTGTTATGGGTTGTAGAGTCACAAAGTCTCATCACCATCTCTTTTTGCATTATGAAGTGGCTCAGAAATTTTGGCAAAGGATCCTGTCAATTTCTGTGATGTGTTTTAGAGTCACAAAGTCTCATCACCATCTCTTTTTGCATTATGAAGTGGCTCAAGAAAATTTGGCAAAGGAGCCTCGTCACTTGGGTATTTCTTGGGTTTCTCCTGGTACAATTGATGTTTTCCTTTCTTCAACTCTCATGACACAGCCTTTTTTGCTGGGTTGTGAGTGATTTGGCTGGAAAGGACAGTCAGAATCTTCAAGAAACTTGTTTCCTTGGGATAAGGTTTCTTTTTGGCATCCTTTTGGGCAAAAGCTCATGAGCACTTTTAAGGATATATCTTCGCGTCCTCTGTAGAGAGATCAGTTTTTTTTTTTTTGATGAATCTGTGAAGAAATCAGTTAGCTATCTTTTAGAAGATCAGTTCTCCATTCTTTTCTTTTCATCTTTCCTTCTCTTTGTGAGGATACATAATTCTCCTCCTTTTTTAATATCTTGTTTGTTAATCATTATGTTCTTTCATTTCCTTAGTGAGAAAAATGATATGCTTTTTCAATACAAAAATAACAATTAACCTGAGATAGCAGTGTTGCATTGATTCCTATATCAAAAAGCTGCAAGAATATGCTTATTGTCATTGTCACAGGATCAACAGAGCCAGCCTGCAATATATTGAAGAAACTTATTGTTACTTGAGCAATAAATGTAAAAGATCGGGTGAAATGGATAAAGATGTCGAAAATCAGGAAAAGAAAAAAGGTATAACAGTTTATCAAAGGAAAGAAAAATTTACCTCCTTGAAAACAACACTTTGTAAAGACTGCAGAAAAATAAGAATCTGTGAGAAACTGTGCCTTCTCCCATTAAAACTGAAGGTGTCTTCTATGATGATTTGGTGCTTTTAGAAGCTAAAGTTGATTTTGACAAACTAAACCATTTGATTAATGTGACAAAATTATAATCAGTTACCTCAGGAACCTACTACTACTATGACAGGTGAAAATCAATAAATTAGTCACACTAAACTCTTCTTTGCTGTAGTAAAAGACAAAGGGTTTGCCAAGTTTTATAGGTAAAAGAATACTTTAGAATGATAAGAAGAATACTTTGTTTTTTTTTTTATTAAGAACGACAAAAGTTAAATTACAAAAATGGAGGATAAGACATCCTCTAAGAGCCTTCTAAAAGAAGAAGTCCAACAAAAGAATAATTACAGCCAAAACCCACCAAAAAATCAGTTTAATATACTACCAAGTTCCTATGGAATAAAGAGACAGAAATATCAGAAAATTTTCCAGAGGCCTTCACCTATTGGAGGACCTCCTAATGCAAGGACTCCAAATACTTCGTATAGGACTATTATTAATCAAGGTTGTTATTTCTTATTTTGTTTTATAGACATAATAGAATATATAGAAACTATGCTTTATTAAGAAAACCGCTGATGACTAAAATTATGCAGGTACTCCAATGAATGAGTGCTTAACCATCCCAAAATTCATGTTCTTGTTGTGTTTTTTAACCCCAAGATCTGATTGAATTTTTTCTCTTTCTGTACTTTTTTTATTTTCCATGCCATGGTGCTTACATGAAGGAGTAATCAAGTCCCAGCAATAAAATATAAACAAAATAACCATACCTTAATCATTTTATACACACAGTATATAGAACATGCATAGCCAAGCAAATTCTGCATGTGACCCCTCCATGTTCGAGAAAAAGCAGCAGCTTCCTACAAAATAATAGGAACAAATCAGAGAACTAGTTTCCCAAATTGATATGAGATAATCATCTTTGGTCATCTGAACTAAGGCATTTTCCAGCATATAATTCCTTTTTTAGAATTTGTTTCCTGCATTTTCCCTTATTATTTCTAGCTTTAATTAATCCAAAATTGGTTGTTAATTAGAATGTCTTTACCATGTTAGCAAGAGTTTTTTAATCCAAAAATGCCCTTTAATAAATTACTATAGTTAATTAATTAAAATTTTAATTTAACAAGCAATATTCCTTAATAAAGATTAGAAATATTATAAGATGTATATAAATTCAAAAACAACAACAATTATTTTAGGTAGTGTTGAGTTATGACTCATATATAGAGAATTTCCTATTCACAAGGACATGGGTGACTATGAGTTATTGTTTTATCTTGATGCAATTGTTACAAGTTCGCTGGAGGCTTAGGCAGCAACCCCGCGGGTACAGTACATCATTTAGGGTGGCTTTTTACTATGTGGTGGCATTCTTCTAAAAATTGGATCTTCACCTTCCACCATATGTAGCCAAGGTCATTAAAAATTATCTGTTATTTCCTTTTCAATGCACTACTTTAATCTGTGTCATGTCAGTATCACAGAATCTGACATCAGAGCCAAGATCGCAATCTCAAAACAGAGTTTTCTTATTCTAGTTGCCATGTAGGGCTAGGGTTTCACAACTCATGCAGATTAGGGTAACAGATCTACTGGTGCCGCCGAAGGTCACATAGGGGATTAACAGGATTCAAGCCACACATGGATGAGGATGACCAGAAGAGAAGATAGATCGCTTTTCACAC